AAATTAAAAAATTAATATTAAAGAAATAATTTAAAATTATAGTAGAAATTAAAAGATTAATACTAGAAAAATAATTTTCGAATTATTTTCAAGTGTATTGTGATTGTAAGGGCTATAAGATATCCATTTAAACGAGAAAGAGGACAATTAAGTTTTAAATCCGAAGTGAAGTCTTAAAATAAATAGAAAATAATTACAAGAGTTTTAAACTCTGAATTGATTTTTCTGTAGAATTTTCCTAGTGTCACAAAAGTATGATTTAACATAATTCGTGTAAAAGATTATAGCTTGAAACATTTTTGAATTTAAAAAGAAACGATAAAAATTATAATTTAGAACTGGTACTTCAAAGTCAGACTCTCTATTTCCTCCATTACTAAAACTGTCCAATATAAATGCTAATTTTAATTTCCAATCTAAACTAACTTGTTTACTAGCTCATCTAACATAGATTAATAATATCAATGAATAGCATTATTAAAAATATTAATATTATTAATATGACAAATATTAATAATATCATTAATCTACTAATATGATAAATATTAACATGTTCCATGCCACGTGCATCTTTTATGGTACACGTTAAAGTTGACCTTCAGGTCATGTGTACAATAAATGATACACGCAGACATATTTATTTAATGCGTTAAAAACATATATCTTATGACGAATTTAATTCTGCAAAATATATTTACACCAAAGGAATGAGGCACTATAAAAGATGCAGTATAGAACAAGCTAATTACTTATGGACTGATGATGTAATGAAATATTCCGTGATAATATATCAGGCTTTTATCAAAACATCAAATGGCCTGAACAGTCGAGCAGAAACAGCTCGAACGAGTTAATAATATCATTAAATCATAAATATGATAAATATTTCTAATATTGTTAATTCATTAATAACATTAATAGTATCTATTTAGTATCAGAAATTTAATTAATTAATATCATTAATCTATTAATGTGTTAATAATACTATTATAGAGATTGGACGGAGGTAATGCTTATTGCTAACACTAATATAAAAATGTGAGTGTGACAATAAAGTTATAAACAATTTTTTGGCTTACTGCAACGCTCAATGTAGGATTACAATATTACAACTCCGTTCGACTTCGATTTTTAACTGTACAACTCAACTCAACGACAACTGTCTTTGATTTGAACTCAATATTAACCCTTTGCACTCGAGAGACGCCTCTCAGTCGCCATTTAATCAGATTCTAAAGATGGATGTTAATTAATATATCAAATTTACAATTACCCAACGATGCGTGGAATATCGATGCAAAATAATTTTACGTCTTAATTTACATACGACTTCTTATTTGCCGTTTTAAAAATATCGTCGACTTTATGGCAGAAAGTCTTGGAATTACTATTTTTCTGTGACGAAAAAATCGTCGAGTGCAAAGGGTTAACACGTCTAATCGGGATTCTTTTGTTTGGAGCCAGTAGGATTGACTCATTATTTGCGCATGATACCAATGTGGTGTCATTGGCATTTGCCCGATAGTTTTCGCATGACACCAACGTGGTACCACTGGACGGCATAGTGTTAACCCTTTGCACTCGGCGATATTTTCGTTACAGGAAAATAGAAATTCAAAGACTTTCTGCCATAAAGTCGGCAATATTTTCAAAACGGTAAATAAGAAGTGCAGATTAACACATTGAGCGTCGGTCCCGTGAAAACGCGGGCTTCTGAGTCTGTCGCTTGAGCGCCGGCCTCGCGTTAATGCGGGTTTCTAAGTTCGTCACTTGACTCTCGCTCTCACGATGATGAGGATTTTTTTGCTTGTATGGATGTCTTACACGTCAATTTGCATTCACTTGTCACGTTTACGACAATCTGCATTTGTTATACTCCGAAAATAAAACGTATACGATGGTTCAGAAACAATCAAAGCAAGAATCACTCTCAAGCAGTGTATTCCGTAGTTAGTACCTCTTTCGTAGGTTTACGCTTTTCGTTGAACAATATAATAAGTCTTATTATTCTGTAACTTTTTACCCATATAATACGAGCGAAG